GTGCGTCATAATCTTAGCCTGCACAAGTGTTTTGTTCGAGTCGAAAATGTTAAAGGAGCAGTATGGACAGTGGATGAAGTAGAGTATCAGAAGAGAAGGTCACAAAAGATAACAGGGTACGTTGGTGTTTGGTTTTGTTCAACTGAGTTGTTTTGTAATTCTGTAACCTGAGTGAGTCCTCTGTGTACTACAACCTGACAGACAAAGCGAGCACTTATGTGGAGAATACATAGCAAGCTAATAGCTATGCTGGTGCATTCTCTTCAGTGAGCTAACAGTTATTTCATTTTTGTGTAAACGCTGTTTTCTGTGCATTCTTTGCCTGCCTGACTTCCCCACATAGTTTGCTGCAAGGAAAGCGATAATGGTTTTGTTTTTTCCTATGTATTTCACCATATGTTTGTCATTTTAATTCCATCTACCGTAAGTTCTCCTACTATATATTAAAAATAGCCCTGTGTACATATGTTGCCCATGTGTTAAGAGTTTCATATGCACTTGTTTTTACTGTAAACCTTTGACAGAAGTGGGAGTTGTTCAAGGTCAGTTTGGAATATAGGTATCATACACTACAGTACTGACCTCAAAAATATCTTCTTGATGAGGGTAGTATTCATGAGAAGCCTTCACAGGAGGACCTTTGGCATGCTTACTGCCCTACTTTCAAATTAATCCCATGTCAGTATGACTGGTTCTGTGGATGCTTTTTATTCCTTGAGAGTATATAATTAGTTTTGATAAAGCCATTCAGATAAAACCAAAGGTGCAGAGACAAGAGCTAGAGGTTTTTCTTTGCAGGAAGGTATTCTATTTCTGTAATGCATCTGTTTGTAGACAGTGACCCACATGACCTCTGGAGTCATACTCTGCACTAATTTTATTGAAAATATAATTATATGGTTATCTAGCATATAGCATTTAAACTATATGCTATATGATAGCATATATGGTATGTTTGATTTGCTGGAAACTAATTGATCCACTGTACTGTTCACATACAGTTATTTATACATTATTGCAGCCTCATTTTTTTTTCTGAGGGAAGAGTAAGATCTTTTTTATTCAACACCCTTGTGTAGTTATATGTAACATAGTAACAGTGTACCCGTGTTAGTTCAGAAAACCGAAACTAAATACAGCAAGAGGGATGTAGCAAATGTAGCAGAGACAGATGTTTTACAAATTTTAAAGCTATCAGTGACATGAGCGCCTTTATGCTCTTGTAGCAAATTTCCACGTGGGCCTTATTATAACATGAGTTTTGCTTTTCTGATGCAAGTAAATCAATGTTCTAACAGGTTGAGCTCCTTCCCTCCCAACTTCATTTCATTTTTCTTTCCTAAACTCCGGTCTTCTGAGCTGACAAACCAATGCATTAACCCAATGAACCAGACAGGATGTCTGCTTGTTTTTAAACTTTGAAAAATCGTTTATTTTCAGAAGCCCAACGTTAGTGAAAAACATACCCACCAGCTTAGGCTATGGAGCAGCTCTTAATGCAAGCTTGCAGGTAAAAAATACGAAATAATTCTTTCTTGTACACACTGATTATCTTCTTATGTGTGATGTATTTTATTTCTGCTTATACATTGGTATAGAATTACCTGGTATGTTTATGTGGACCTGATGGTCATTCTAAATAACTGGGTTTATCACCCAAGTAAGTTGTATTACCTAGCACTGCAAGTAGTAGTTCTTATTCGTGCTACTTTTGATGTGAAGAAGCAAGAAGGACACCCTGTGGCAAAATCTGGAACATTCAGTTTTGCTGCAAATGTTAGATTGATAGAAGCTTTTGCAAATGCATGTGGATATGCATTAATATTTATCCAAGCTGTCATAAATGATTTCACATCATAGTGTTGGGGAACATGGTGCTCATGGCAAAAACTTTAAAGTTTAATTATAATATATAATTTTTATGCAGAAGAGGCAAATGTCAGGACTTTTTTATTTTGATTTAAGTTCTGGTCATTTTTTAAAGTATAGCAGCTGCCTGCATTATAAAGGAGCCATACATTGTGTGGAAGGGCAAAGGGGTTAAGTGTAATTCAAAGTCAGAAAATGATATAAAACTAGAAAGTGCCATGGATATCAGAACATAATTAATAATGGAAAATAATGAAACCTAAGCAAAAGAAAAGTAAACCAGGAGTAGAAATGCTGTTATTTACAGAATGTGAAAATAATTGGAAATGCACAAAATCCTTCTGACCGCTTCAACAACTACACAAAATGAGCTGTTCTGTGTGTGTGTATTTCTAAATGTTCATACATGTAAGAGTGCTATGTATATGTATGGGCTAATAATTTGGTTTTACTTTTCATTTTGGTAGGCTGCACTGGCAGAGAGCAGTTTACCATTGCTAAGTAACCCAGGACTGATAAATAACGCATCCAGTGGCTTACTGCAGGCAGTCCATGAAGATCTCAATGGTTCGCTGGATCACATTGACAGTAATGGAAATAGCAGTCCAGGCTGCTCTCCTCAGCCTCACATGTAAGTGCAGTCAGCTCTCTTTCAAGAAAAAAATGCCTTAGTCTAAGACACAATATTACTCAAAAGAGTTTTGAAAGGTGGTAAGTGAAACATCTGGAGCTATATATTTGAAACTAAACATTTATATTAAAACATTTAAATAGATGAGTCTTCATTTACTTTGTAGTGATTGCTATAAGCTTTTTTTTTTGCCTTTTTTTTTTTTTTGGTAAAACCTCATCAATTTGCTTGCAAGCTCTGAATGTAATGGGAGGCTGATCTCTGTGGTCATTTTCAGAGCCTGGTTTGTAAGGTATAGTCAGAATGTTCACACTGGAATTAGTTGTAATTTTAACTATGACTCTCCAAACCATTTATGAACTGTAGTAGAGATATTGCGCGTTTATACAAACCATAAAATGCAAAGTTTAACTGTTGCCCACAGTTTACATAGAAGCCAGTAAAGTGTAACTTTTTGCCTGTCATATAAATCAGTGTAATTACGTATTCAAGTTTAATTACTGGTGCGTCTGTATTGGCAAGGTTTATATGTTATATTTTATGCAAGACTACGATTCCTATTAATATTTAGCAGCTAACTATATCATTAATTACTCTAAATTCTTTCCCCTACCATCTTTTTAATGGAGCTGAGAGAGTGGAAGTATTAAAAATTGATGTATTGTGGATTTCAGAAATGTGTCTGAAGCTTCAGAAATGCCTGGCCTTAATCAGTGGTGTCAAACATGGCAGTTTCTTGTTTACTAAATAGTAAAACATGTATCTTGGAGGTATTGTTTCCCAGGTTATTTATATAATAATTAGCAGTGTGATATGTAAGTAGACTTTGTTTTCAGTCTACTGTAAGATGATTTTTTAAGTGTATCTAAAATGATGTCTTTTTTTTAATGTTTTAAAAAGCTGATCTCATTTGCCTTTTTTAATTCCATTTTCTCTTTCACATTTTAAATATTCATTTTAATTGCTAGAGTGGGATATTTTACAGTAAGAGTAATTGAGACCAGACTCCCTTTTTTACTTATGCTCTGATGTGTTAAGAATCCATTTTGATCTGACCTTTTTTAGGAAAAATATTTTACTGATTTTTTTTCTTCTTTTGTTTGGCATGTTAATATATCTGTGATCACATAGAAATGTTTATTGTCATGCATTTAATTGTTTTATTGCACATTTATTCTACCTCCCTTTGAAAATAATACACTGTGAACATTCATGTATTTTATCAGGTTCCAAACCATTACTTTTTCAAAATGGAAAAATTTGTCTTTTGGAAGTGTCTTTAGATGTATTAAATAATACAAAAGAAGTAATAAAACTTGAAGTAGAAAGAACATGAATATATGCTCTTGAGAGTAACACTACTCTAAAACAAGTAAAGTGAGCAATCAGACAAAAGTTTTTATATCCCATGCTTGATGCTATCAACCATGCAGTGGGTAGCTTGAGGCCTTTTACTTTTAGCAGTTCTCCTGAGTATGCTAATGCTCTCTTCCTGTATAAAATGCCAAGACAATAAAACTTTAAAGAGCAAACAAGAGTTAGATCATGTGTGTTAAAAACAGCTACTTTACAGAAAAGAATGACACTTGCTATTAAAGTTGTTTTGTAAGTGTTAGGCAGATCTGTTTACATATCCTGTGTTCTGTCTGCCATTCTGCTGGATAAACTGTGATATCTGTGCATATGATTATGTAGATATGGCTACATTTATAGCTGTGTTTATAGCTAAAATAGTGCATATTGAAGTAATTCTTGCCTATAACAAAGGCAAATACCTTAAGTTACACCCTAACTCAAGATTGAACCTTCCTCTCTCGTTTTTATGTCATTTGTCAAAATAGGCATTTTCAGGACTTGCTATGTTGATTCCTTTGAAACTTGTGAGGACATGTTGCTCAGTTCTTGACAGACTGAAGCAACAATATGGAAATGCCTGAGACACCACTGGAGAAACAATCTATGCACATTCATCCCTTGCAGCAAACTTAGTGCAAGAAGTCTGGGCTTCTGTGAAGCCAAGAGCCATTAGACAAAAGATGCAAGCTAGATGCCCATTCACTTGTGACATTTTTTCCTTTTCTTTGGAGAGAAAAAAGGGAATGAATGCAATCTGCAAGGAAAGACCAGGGTAGGGAGAGGCTTGCATGAGAGGCAGAGGACCAAGGAAGAAGAGACCTCTTCCTTGCCTCCATGACCACATTGGTCAGGGACCCTCGTTTTTGTTACATAATAAAATGAGAAAATAGTATAGATAAAGCAAAACAGAAGTAAAACAAGTGAGGAATATGGCAAACAATGAAAACACAATTTAATTTTTGCATTGCAAAACACATAACATAATCTCTTTTTTCTTTTTTTTAACTGAAAAATAGTTAATAAACTAATCAAATAAAAAGGATTTTACTGGCATAAGCACATACATACTTTTAGTCTCCTGAGAAGATTCACCCAGGAAGTGTGGGTTTTTCTCCCTTAGAGAAGGGTTCTTGAGGTCTGATAATTACTACACTCACCTATAAATTTGGAGGCTCTATTTGTTAATCTCCAAGCAGATTAAACCTCCATCTCCTGATTCCCAGGAGGTGGCAGAAGCCACAACAGGAGGTATATGCTGAGCAATGTTGTCTGCCATCTTGTAGGTGACACATGCAGGAACAATGGAGCAAGGTATTAGAGAAAGAGGCAAGAAGTTGTGTGCAATTTAGAGATCAAGGCATTCAATTGGGAAGGTGCAGAGTTTGGATTCTAGACAAGCTTCTAGAGAGAGGCATTTGTTTGGTATTTCAGCAGTAAATGCAAAACGAGTCCCAGTGACAAAGTCAAGCATCTTAGTTAGGCATTTGGTTGTTAAAATTGTACTGACTGTCATTTTATCAGATATGATAAAACCACATGATAGCATAACTGTCTTATTTTGGGATGATCATATTAATGTTTTAGCATGTTTTGTGTGTATGTGCAGAAGTCAGTGTATCCGTGGTTGAGCACTGGGACATTATTAGAGACATTGATTTCTGTTATTGTAGTGCCTGAGCTCCTGGGTGTCAGAAAGTGGGGAAATTGTTTCAGTTCTTGGATATGAACCTAGTACTTCACATCTGGTTTTGAAGAGACACAGTAGTAAGAGTAGCTAGAGTCATTAATTTACCCATCTGTGACCAGGTATCTTAGCACAGGCAGGCAAATCAACTTACTTAGAAAATAGTCTCTGTTCATTGACTAGAGAAAGACAGCAGGTCTATAACTTCAAGTAACTGTATCACACTTCAACACTTGTTAAGTGCAGTGAGTCCATCCAGTGTATTCGGGGCACTTTAGGACCTCCAAAATTTTGGCCTCAGGTAATGAAATATAATCTGCTCCATTTTTTATGCTTTTGAATACTTAAAAATACCACAGTAAGTTGTAGGTGTTTAACCATGGCCTGGTAGCTGGGATAACGCTTATATTAATAATTACATAAAGCATCTGAAATTTAGTCTGTGTGCCTCCCAGTTTCCTATCTCCATCTGACGAAAGGTGGCAATTCCATAGTCTAGGAAGAAGCATATGAGTAATGGAATCTTAAGTCCTAGATTTTCTTTCTGTATTTCAGCAGTATTAAATCCAAGTTCTGTCTTTGACTGGCCTTCAAATCTGATTCCTGGTGTGTAGGCTCTGAGTGCTTCCTTGACATAAATCTTCACTGAGAAAATATGTTACTTATTGTGGGCATATGTGTTCTGTTCAAAATTTAAATTTCTTCTAAGATCAGTTGTCAACAATCAATATCAGGCAATTGTATTTTAAGTCAATACTTAAGACTGTTTCTTCTTTCATTATTTCAACATGGACTGCTTCTCTGAACTTTTTGTGAGTTAGAGCTGATAAGCAACAGGCTTCAAAGCAACAAACAGAACTGAAGATCTTTAATGCACAGAGATTCATTATTTATGTAAATTTAGGTGCTGTTAATCTTCCATAACAATTGTACATGGATGTAACTGTAAGTTCCACAGTACACGCCTTTGGAGTATAAATGCAGAATTCTGAACTAAAGAAAACAAATCCAAACAAGTACAGTTAAAGGTGGGTTGTGGGAAAAAAGTTTTAGTATTCCTGTAGAAACAACAGCATTGAATGAGGCATGAGGCGATGCTTAGGAACAATAATGACAGTTCATGCATTACTGAAAACACAACTTCTTTTTAACCTGTATGTAATAGCCAGCATACTGCTGAAGAGCTTTGGTGGGATTTGAAGGTCAGCTCTTTCAGAAGTAATAAATTTATATTTTTAAATGAACATCAAGATCGTAGTGAAATCAACTTTGTGCTATTACTTTTCCTGTCTCTATTATACATCCAAGAATTCTCACTCTTGGGGATGGCAAATAAGGGATGGAAGTCAAGTTCAGCTATTTTTCTGGTGTTTGTCTCTGCATTCGTACTAGACTGATTACACTTCAATGATTATTGCAACTGGCACAGACACAGGTGTTTTATCACCAGAATATTTAGCACATCACTAGCCCCCATGGTCATGGCAAATGCATCATGCCACTTTGCTTCATTGTATGATCCTGGCAGGGGGATGTAGTCTTACCATAGGAAACAATGGGGCGATTATGCCTTTCTATTAAAACTCACTGCAGCTCATTAAATAAGGAATGGAAGGAGTAAGAAAATGTGATAGGGTAAACAGATATCCCTCTGGTGAGATTTTGAGGAAGGTGCTTGTCATCATGGTTGTCTCCCTGCTCACTCTGTGAGAGTGTAGACTGACAATGCAACTAAACTCATTCCAACCAATTTACTGAAATAATCTAGTTCCTAACAGCAGATCCAGAATCCTGGAGTTAATGCCATTCTGATTTTTAGAATTTTAGTTGTTGACAGCTTTTTTTTTAGAAAAGTGAAAACAAGAAATAAGATTTTAGAGTTGCTTCTCAAAAAGTGAGTTCATATATCATCTCCTATACGAGTCTTTATGTTCAGCTATTGTAGTGCTGTAGTACCTAA